GGCGGCCGCGAAGGAGGCGGAGAATCAGAGCGAGACCGACCTGAGGTGAGACGGCCAGGCCGCGCCGGGAGGGCTCTGCCATTTGCATCTTGCTGAGAGGTTTTATTGCCTCCGGTGGTTTTTCAGCCAAGGAAGGAAAGGAAGCGTCTTGACTCAATCACAAACGCAGCTTGCGTCTTTTGGAGACTTGATCCCTTCTATCTTTCCCAATATGAAATAAAACTTCACAAAATTTAAAGAGTGAGTGCCTGATAACTCTTGTTCTGCTCCTCAGCTCTTTAATCCTGCAGAGGAACTCCATGAGATGGGATGGAAAAATCTATGAAGAGATCCCGATAGTTCACATAATATGAAATAAAACTTCACAAAATTTAAAGAGTGAGTGCCTGATAACTCTTGTTCTGCTCCTCAGCTCTTTAATCCTGCAGAGGAACTCCATGAGATGGGATGGAAAAATCTATGAAGAGATCCCGATAGTTCACATAATATGAAATAAAACTTCACAAAATTTAAAGAGTGAGTGCCTGATAACTCTTGTTCTGCTCCTCAGCCCTTTAATCCTGCAGAGGAACTCCATGAGATGGGATGGAAAAATCTATGAAGAGATCCCGATAGCTCACATCAAAGCTACGTACAACAAGTAAGCAAATGAGCAGCTCCATTACTGCTCTCAGGCAAAATAAAAGCTTGTAACGTATCCGGGCTTGGGCCAGTCATTGTTTTGATCAAAAGGCTCAAAGGAAAAAAGCCAGGGGAGTGGTGTTGATGACTGACAAGATAATAATACTGAATTCAAACTTCAGTGCTGTTCAGGAAGCATAACTGTCCTTATAGTGTCTTTAACAGCAATAAGTTTGTTTTTACACATTTTGACTGCATTCTGATATGAATAATTAGATGCTGATGGCTTTAATGGCAAGTTACTTCCAGCCCTCTGCTCTAGCACTATTGCTGTACAGCTGTTGGAAAAATTGTCATATTCTCTATGAGAGATGGTTGTGTTTTATTAGTGATCCTTAGTGTGATATTTTACTGTTTCTTAAAGCTCTTTCAAGTTCTAGAAATGTTTTGTGCATTTTTTTAATAAACAGAAGAGGTAAAATGCTCACAGTGAGAGGTGGGTCTGAAAGGGCTAAGCAGTACCTGAGGTGTACCTGCATAAAGTATATCTTATCCAGAAAGGTTTTGCCACCTCGCTCAGATTCTCTGGGGCAACCAGCGGGTCACTGCTGGGAGGTCTCTGCAGCAGGTTCGTGTAGGTAGGATACCTCGAAAGGGAATGCTGCGTTAGGGTGGCTTGGAGAAGGGAGACAGGAGTCCTGTGTCAAGCCGTGCCAGTAAGGTGAGAAACTGGAGAATAAAGCTTTGTTCTAGCTTGCTTCTTTCTTTTGCCCCTCTCTTTCTGTAGCACCCACATCCAAGTGGTCAGCTTTGACAACAGGCCGTTTGCCCGTACGTCCTGTGGCACAGAAGGCTTCCAGAATGCCAAGAAGGGAACGGCCATCGCGGCACAGACCGCAGCCATGGCAGCAGCAGTGGTGAGTCTGCGCTGATGAGTCTCGCCCTCCCAGAGGGGCGCGCTGACTGCCTCCCCCGCCTCCCTGGGTCCATGCCTCGCTCACAGGCAGCAGTCCAGCTCTGTTCCTTAGCGCTCCAGCAGCACACAGCTGTTTGCTGACAGTTTCCCTGGCTTCATCTGACACACTGCACATCTTCACACAGACAAAGTGTGTTTGAAACAGCAGTTAGAAATGCCCAGAGGGTGAACTTAGCTGTGCAGGTTGTGACTGGGAAATGTAACCTAGATCCTAACCTTTTCTAGCTGCAGTTTGCATAGCTCCTTTTTTTCCTAAGTGAACATCTCTCAGCCATTTTGGAAATGTAGCCCCTGAATCAGCAGCAGTTCAATTTTTGCACTGTAGGGGACTGAGAAGCAGCTGTAATTACTGGCTGAATGTTTTATATTTGCTCTCTGCCACAGGAGAACTGAGCTGCTGCCAGCAGTTCCAGTCAGAGAAGGTGATGTCCTTGCATGTGTAGTTTCCAGCTGCATAGAGTTTACTGTAATTGTTTCTAAAAAACTATGTGGGTGTCCAGGTGGCAGGAGAAGATGAGGCTGGCTGTGTCACAGTCCTCATTACAGCAGAATGAGGCAAGGTTAAACTGAAAATCCTCATGCTAAATTAGGTGGAACTCGCTCCAGCCTTTCATGTCAGAGGTGTTTGGTGCCACTGCTGGCCAACAGCTTATTGTGGTTGACTCGGAGGACTGCAAGAACATCTTCGCTATTAATCTGTGCTCATCAGAGCCTCATAGTAGCTGCATAGCTGTGCTTGGCAGGATTTATTCTGTCACTGTTAAAGTTGTTAGTACATTAATTGCACCAGAACACAGAAAGCGAGAGAACCAGAGGAGCTCCGTCCACGTGGTGGCAGCACAGCTATGCTTTACAGCAGGTGTTTTTCATTTTCAATTTGCAAGCCCCTAGAATTTTTGCACTAAAGGTGTGGACTCCTGCACAGCAAATATAAAGCTTGCCTGCTTTTTTCATTTATCCTCTAGAAGAAATCCACTGATCACAGGAGAAAAGTCACTGCATTAGAGAAGGGAAAACAACTTTGAGTTAGTTCTTTTTAGTCCCTTGCCAGTGCAGTCACGTATGCACGGATATGTCGTTTTCTGCCCTGGCTTCAGGTCACAGACAGTTTGATCTTAAAGCTTTCTCTGTGCACACAGCTGAAAGCCTAGCACAGAAGTTCTCCTGAAACTGCCATGGCTGTATCCAGGCCTCCTTTTCTCCTAGTGTCTTTGTGCAATAATCCCCATATTTGTCTTCTCTAACTGTTACTACCTACTTTTTATTTTTACTTAAAGAATACTATGATAGTGGGTCAGAAGGGAATGAAAGACTCCAGGGGAGCCAGAACAGCAGTAGTTGTATTAAAGAGAATACTGACCAGTTGTTTTTTTCACAGAAAGCACGTGGGAAGGGTGTATTGCATGTACGAGTCATGGTGAAAGGACTGGGACCAGGACGCAAAGTAGGTGTCAGAGTTTCTTTTCATATTTTTTTCTCAGACATCATTCAGGTTTTTTAAATTCAGGCTGGTCTCATGACTATACTATTAACATGGTTTTTCTGAAGGTGATGTAAAGAATTCATCACTCAAGTGCCTAGTAATGAAATTCTAGAATCATTAGAATTTTAGAGTAATATCACTTTGGAAGCAGAATAAAAGCTGTATTTGGGACTTCTTCCAACTGAAGTAGGAAAATTGGTGGGAATGCTGATGAAAGAACTGGAGCAAATAGGTTTGAACTGGGTTTTCTGATATGAATTACTTATTTTTAAGATAATTACAAAGGAGAACCATTGGAACAAGTTCATTTTCGGATGGGGGACCAAACTATTTTCCCCTGAGCTTCTTCCATTCTCTGCTGTTCAATGTATTGATAACAGCGTGTCATCTGCTGTCTTGTTCTTCCAGGCTGCTATCAAGGGTTTGACTATGGGAGGTTTGGAGGTCATCTCCATCACTGACAACACACCGGTTCCACACAACGGCTGCCGCCCACGGAAAGCCAGGCGAATGTGAGAGGGGAGTGGAAAAGACACACAGCTTTCAACATCAGTTCATGCAACAGGGACTGGCTTGAACGTTGCTCCTGTGACAGATTCTGGAAAGCCAGCCTCCCTGGAAATACTTGTTGAGGAAAGATTGAAGAGAGACCAGGTGGTAGAAGCTGGTGGTAAAAGCAGGAATATGTGTACTCCCTTAGTGGGAAGCCTCCTGTGTACAAAGTTTGTTGATTAAAATGTTGGTCTTTTGACAGCTGCTGTGTTCCCAGAAGTATTTTGTTCGACTGCTTTCTTCCTCTTACCACTGTGTGTGGCTCTTGTCTAGCCCTCTGTGCTATTATTGCCCTTGTTAGGCGAAAGGGGAGCTTGAGGTCTAGATCTCCTTCCAGTCATCTGTAGTAAACAACTGCGTGGAGGCACATCCTCTTCCTTCCCTCTTTCTCTCACTGCACACATGTGGAAACAAGGTATGGGGTAACTATTCCCCTTCCCCCTGGCTTGCAGAGCTCGGCATGCCGTGCGAGAGGCAACTTTCCCTCTTCGCGCAGCATGGAGCACTGTAGTCTGGATCCATTATTGGCAAAGATCTGTTGCAGTGCTTTGTTTTGCCCAAGCTGTAGCTGGCCTGCCAGTGCTGTTGGCAAATGGAAAATGCCAGTCCTAAAGGGGCTGGGATCTTGCCAGTTTTGATGCTTGCGGTCAAATTTGGTCCTGCCTTGTGCACCACAAACTGGATTTTCTGGGGTCCTGGGCAAAGCAAGCAGAGGGTTAGTAGGCCTGAGGAACAACGAAATGCTGCCATGGAGATTTAAAACAGTCTAAGTCTTGAACTGTACCTCTGTATATCCACAGGCAGCACGAGCTTGTCATGGGTCTGTGATGTGTTATTGCTATCCCAGCTCCATCCAGAGAGAATTTCTGCCAAGGAAATGTGTCTGAGGCTCTCTGGAGCGTTAACCGGGGAAGGTAATGGCAGTAACTGACCCCAGGATTGCTTTCCTGGATGGCAGAGGCACACTGCCCAGCAAAGGGCACCTCCTTGAAGTCCATGCTGCCAGAAAAGCCCTGGCTGTATACAGCATGCACTGGGCAAATATTTCTCCTGTAAACAGAGTGTATTTTGGTGCAGCCAGCAGTTCTGTCACCAACCCAGAATCTTCCTTTCTATTATTCCTCTTTCTGTCGTTCCTCCTTAGTTTCTTAAATTGCATAATTAACTATTCTCTTCCTCTTTAGAGAAAGGGTACCATGGCAACAAGGCAGTGAACCTCCTTCATGGGGCTGAATGGCATACAGTAGGTTTTGAAAGAAATCAGTCTGCTCAGAAGAGCCTGTTGAGTTGCATTTGACAGAAGAGAAGAAAACAAGATTCAGATGAATCCCCTACCTTACTCCAACTGTCTGAATTTGAATAGAGGGTAGGCTATCTTAAAGGGAAGTTCCTTGAGCTGTCACAGATTTGACAGTGAGGAAGAGATGTTCTTCCACAGATGTTTGAAACACTAGAAGAGCTTCCCCCTCGCTCCAGAAATATGGCTGAGCTTCTAGTGACTTCATATTCCTCTTTTTAAGGAGAAGATACCAGGTGAGCTATAAACTGCAAAGATTAATGCTCTGAGTATCTGGGCAGCTAGCTGGGGAAGGCATGTGTGAACGCTGACGTGCCTTACAGCAAGGCTGGACTGGTTTCTGTGCCGAGCACAGTGACCAGCCCTGAGGAAGGAGGAGCACCAGTCTGCGCTGGCAGGCTTGTCAGCGATGTACCGTCTAACACGCTGAGAAAACCCAACGCTACCGTTCTCTACCACAAGCTGCTCGTTGCATCAATGCAGAAGTGCCCACGTCAGATAAAGATGATAGAACAAATTGAAAAATAAGATTGGGAAGAGATCTGCGGTCCTCCTGAAATTCAGGGAAGAGTAGGTGGATGACTCGAGAGTCAGAAAGCAACAAGAATAAATCTTTGTCTTATCCGGACTTAGAATCAAGGCTGTGCCCTTTGTAAAGGCCACTCCTTAACGCTCCTGATTTCAGAGCATTTCTGAACATTTTATGAAGTCTACCAATACACTGCCACTGCTTAGACAGTTGGAAGTTTTATCTTGCTGTCTGCCCTGCCTAGTTTTGATACCTACCCCTATTTCTTCCTCCAGCTGACATTTATATAGCACTCTCCGACCTAGACAGAAGCGGCTGACACTATTTTCCATGGTTCAGCGGCTGAATCTGTACAGTATCATACAAAATTTGCTTGTCTTCCAAAACCCCAGCTCCACATACCCTCCCTGAGCTCTCCAGCACAGTGCTTCAGTTGTGCAGAAGTCACGTTCTCCACCCACCTTCTCTCCTGCCCTGATGGAGCACCCCCAAAGCCCTGTCCTAACTAAATCCTCAGTCTGAGCTGTTTATTCTGCAGCACATCCCAGGCCCCTGGGGCAGTCGTCAGTGAGGTGGGAGAGCACGGCTACACAAAGCAAGCTCTCCCACCTTGTGCAAGGGCTCAGTCACTCCTTGCACAGGCTGTACGGTGAAAGAAGTCTTAAAACTCTCTGTTGTTATTCGTCTTGCAGGGAATTAATAGATACCAACAGCACTTAATGATGTCCTTACCCTTCAGATGAAACTATTAATAAAGGGCGTGGTTTTAGTCAGCCGCTGGTGTTTACCAGTTCTAATTGCTTTTCTTGGCACCTGGGTGGAATACTGTTTTCTACTGGCCTGAGCATTCACATTCCTCCTGAGCAGCAATTACTTCACTTGTCAGTAGCATGGCCACAGCATTAGCAGCCTCATGAGGGTCACAACCACTCCCTTTGGGCTTCCCCATTGCTTTGGGACATTTTTCTCTCCACTCCCTCCTAACTTTTGATTCCTACTCTCAAAGAAGCCTTCTTCCATGAAACAAGCTCAGAAGCTGCCACTGACCACAAAGCTTCATCCTGGTTAAATCCTGGTCTTTCTGGGGTTTTGCCCTCTGTTTTAAAATACCAGCTGGACCTTTCTCCATCATGTAGGGGGTGAAACACAAAACAAACTTACAGATAAAACGTTACCTCAGGTCTGTTTACCCCTTAATGAGTGCCATACCACCTTGGGGAGTTAGTCTAACTCAGTTACCCTTCCCTTGGACAGGGATGGCACCTGGTGGCTTGGGAAAATAGCCCCAAGCCTTCTCCCTAATAGTATATTATTCTGCAAAGAGGAATTATTTCCCTACCCCCAGCAACAAGGACTTTCTACCTAGAGCTGCAGCTTTATCTGCTGAATTGGTGATTTACTGTTTCTTATGTGAGCATCTTGGTGACAGGAGTCAGGCAGCCAATTTCGATCCCTTTGCAAGATTCAATTAAACCATTAATTAAGTGATGTCAGTGTCCTTTAACAGCTGACTCTATACACAAGCCAGCAAGGAGAAGGGGACAGACCCTGCAGTGCTAATAAACTGTAGCAGCAGGGGTGGTTTACCGCAGCCCAGCTGCAGCTGTTAGGGACATCTGCGCAGGTTTTGCTGGCTTTCCCTCTGGTGTGGGAACACCTGGCTTGGGATGTGCGCAAAGTGGGTCAGCGAGTAGGTGTTTATAACCCTAAAGCACCCCTCGGGAGCCTTTGAGAAGTAACAGTTCAAGTCAGGTTATGTTTTTGCGCTCAGACTTCGGCAGATAATCACGGTGCTGCTTTCATGCCTGGTGTCCCTGCCTGGCCCCTCTTCCCCTCGAGCTGCCCCTCCAACCTCAGCCCATGACCTCTCAGACCAAAAAAGGATCAAGGACCCTCAGATTGTTTTTGTGCGTTTCCAATGTTCTCCTCTCCCCTCAAGAGGCATTAATGGGTACTCAGTGGCAGTAGAAACTGCTCAGAGGTTTTACTAATGAACTGCCTAATAGCATCCAAGTTCCCGTGCTGATGCTGAAGCAGGGCTGCAGGGTCCTCTTGGGGAGGTGCATAAGGGAGCCAACCCTCGATGCTATTCCCTTTTTTTGAAACCACTCACGCCTCCTCTGCTGTGCTCTCCAAGCTCCCCCTCCGCAAGTGCCACTTGGCAGGGTCCTTTTCTTTTTCTGGAGTTCATCATTCTCTTCCTACGCCCACATCTACTAGGAGTCGGAAGCTGTGCACAGATCCGGGACCCGGACCCAAACCTCTCGGCAGCTACAGAGCCCCAGCAGCCGTTACTTGGGATAGCTGCTCCCAGGAGCAGCTTCACAGCTTGCTTTTCTAGAGAAAGGAGGCGGAAGGGAGAAAGGGTTGGGTGCGAGGGGCTGAATGCTCAGCAAAGATGTGGGCGACAAAAAGGTGAGTCCAGAAAGAGAGAGAAGACAGAGGCAAAAATGCAGGAAAATACAACAACAACAAAACTTTTTCTAAGGCTAAAATCTCCCAGCTGGTGGTTCAAGAGCCAGCACAGATTAGGAGAAGGATGCAGGGAAGGGTTCTCCCGCAGCAGGTATGCTTCTGGATCAGGCTAGATGCACTCCCCTTTGCTGTTCTCCCCACCAGACCTCCACGTCGGAAGCGCAGGGTGGCCTTGCTCGGGAGCCCTCCCTGCCAGCACGGCCAGCTCTTTGGGGCTTATCACTTCACCATTTTAAAGAAAGCACGAAAAGCTGTATTTAGAAATTGCTCCAAAGCCTCTTCAAGCAGAAATGACAGTCCTCAAAACCTTCCTTCCCCTTCCAAGCTGGCTCTGAAATCCCTCCTCTGTGCTTCACCACTTAACAATTCATTTTGCAAAGCCAAACTCTAAACTGGAGCAGCTGGGATTGACGTCCACCGCACCTCCCAGCCACATCGCTAAAGACTCCAGCTTTTGGCCCCTTCTCCCTCTGCCTGCTCCTCTGTGCAGGAGCAGGCCAGGCATCCCACCGCACACAAGACTCCAGGTAACAAATAAAACTTGGGGCCCCAGGCAGGAGAAAGGTACATATTTCATCCCCCAGCCACTCATCTCCAGCCCCTTCAGCAGGTCCCCAGATGAGGTGGTGAAATAGGACTCTCATCTCTTCATGCACCAGCCTGCAGGCAAACAACTCGCTCTCCTAATTGCCAGCCATGGCTCTCACGCAGCCCCTTCCCAAGACCTGGATGTTGCCTTTTCATTTTGCTCCTGCCAAATCCACAGAAGTAAATTATCAGTTTGCTGAGCTGCCAGGGTCAAGCCGACCAAGGAATGCAAATGACTTTAGATGGGCCAGCCCTCTGGGCTTCTCTGTAATGCCAGCACCCGGGAAGCAGCCCACTCCAGCGCTGGGAGATG